CCAGGAAGGCGGGAGACAGGAGGCCGGGATCCGCCGTCATGTCGTCGGTCGGCGCGGTCACCAAGCTGCGCAGGATGTCCTTCACTTTCACGTTCCGCACCTGGGAGGCCGGACCTTCCTGGCTCCTCTTCACCTCTGAGGACAGGGCGGACAGAGCCTCGCTGACGGCATCCGGGCCCGAGGCTCCTCCCACTCCCGCGGACGGCTCCGTGTCACCGGTGGCGAAGGACGCATGCTCGTCCCCGATGCCGGAATCTCGGCGCCGCAGCAATACGCCGTTGTCCAGGTCCAGGCTGGCTGGGACACCCTCAGCGCCTGCACCCTCTACAGCAGAAGAGGCACGAAGCACATCCATGAACTTCCCTTTCACCCTCTTAACTCGCGTGCGGTTTTATTTTCATTCAGCCTACCTCCGCTTTTCTGCTGGACGCATTTCCTTTCATTGTGAGGCTCCAAGATGTCTCGGTACTTGGACACCATGAGGACGGAGATGAAGTACACCACAGCCAGTGCCAGGAACTGGGCCTGCTTGCTGTCCTCCTGGGGGACGGACAAACGGGAGGCTATGCCAAGCACTGCTGCACACCCGACACCTCAAAGACGGGGCCGCCATCTTCCTTCCAAACACCGCACTGACTCAGGCGCCGGACAGCCGAGTGAAGGTGAACCGTCAAATCATATTACCCTCAGGAACGATGATGACTACATACAGAGCTGGGCAGGAAAGTCCCTCTGGACACAGAGCTGAACTGGGGGTCACTCATATTATAGGATGGATGGTGTTGCTATGGAGATCACCACACTGTGTAGGTACTAGCACAAAGCAGACGCACGGGGGACGACTTTCCGTGAAGCGATTTAGCGACTTGGTTCCATTTGTTAGCTGTCCTGCTTATGCAAAGCACCAACGCATTACGCAGGGGGGCACCAAAACACTGTGGTGGACATCTTGGGTGTATGTTGTGTATTGCGTACATTGGTATACAGTCTGAATACTGTTTATCTTATATAGTGTTTTTAATTTTGTGTGGTTTTTATATGTTAAGTGTACTCATTGCGGCCATTTTGGCACAACAAATTCCTTGGACACATTTCGTCGACGGCGAATAAAGTTCGAGTCTGATTCTTAAGCAGGAGAGGTAGACTGCAGGCTGTATGGACGCATGTTTTTACGCGCCTCAATGCAGTGGGGGCACTTACGATGTCCCTGAAGACCACAGCGCGCAGACGGTTGATGTCCATGTCCTGCAGCAGGCGGTCCGTGTCTCTTACGGGGGACACACCCCCCGTCACCACATCCACGGGGCTCTGAGGGACAGAGACGCATGTCAGCCGTTCGTCTTCCCCATTCCGTTTGTTTACAGGATATCGATACGGATATAGGTGGATGGCAAAGCAGACCGGCAAGTTCAGACACTTTTCTCCATGTTTGTATTCAGAATTGTAATTATAATGCATCTGTCAGCGAGAACGGCAATCCCCCTCTAAGGAAAAAGGCCGATCTATCCTTCCACTACAGCCATGCCGACTCGCGAGATTGATTAAGGCTGAAAAGGTCTTTTGTGGCGTAATTTTCACTCCCACAGGGCCGGTTCACACCAACCGCGGTATCTGCACTTGTGAGGCAGAATCACTGCATTTCAGCCCAGCGTTTACACTGAAAGTGAAACCAGGGTTGGTGCAGCAAAACAAAAATACAGAATTATAAACGCGGAGCCTGTTTACATACTTTCAGGAAGCTGCCGATTTTACTGGAAGCCAGTGTATCAAATAAACACGGTTTTAAATAACTTATCCAGCACATCATGGATGCAGGGCAGCGGCACTGCAATAAGATGCGCCTAATGCGGTGACTAATGCGACATCGCATTGCCATTCTAGAACGCTACAAAGCACCAGGGCCCAGGCCTCTGACGATGTGTGTAACCCGAAGGCAGGATGCTTACCATCCACTAAGTGCAGCGATCCCATTAAAGCAAACTGCAGGACTCAATCAATGATCGCATTTCTGTCCTCCCCCCCCCCCAACAGCTATGCCCAGAGATTTACAGGAATGGGGCGGCAATGTCGGCACGCCCCCGGTGTCTCTTCACCGGGAGACCGACTCCCCAGAATATGCAAGGAGTGGCATGATGGGGTCAATTTAACGGCCGTCATTTTAAGATGCCGGAGATCCATTTACAGGAGCGTCCTCGTAGCCCAGTCAATGAGAGAGCGCCTAGGTCCATCCTCACCTCTAAACGAATCACCTTCAGCCGCTCCCTTACTGCCATTATTCTCATTTTTTTAATTGTTAACTTCAGGATGATATTGAACCATCATTCAGAACAGTCAGGAGATGCTGCTGCTTACAAGCCCCCTCCCGGCAGCCCCCACCCCCCCAGCAGGCGAGCAGATGACCCAGCGGCCCGGCAGAGGTCTTACCTGTGCCCCAGCCAGAGCCTGGATGACCTTCTGCACGCGGGCTGCCTCGGCGCCCGCCGGGAACTGCTGCTGGCACTCCAGGCAGTTTCGGACAGCAATGGCACATACTTGCAGACAAACACAGACGCGGACAGATAAGGGGTTGGCAGGACAGAGTGGCCTTCTCCCTGTGTTTAAAGGCTGTGCACTGACACGACCACACAGCGACTGTGTATCCCTGGCGCCGCCCGATAATAATCGATCACCCTGAGGCGGCGCAGGTGCCGGTGCCCCCCCCCCCAACATAAACGACTCCATATAACACGGATTATTTTCTGTTTGATAACTTGGGGTAGTTTTCTGCGACAGTCGGGCGACACTTACGCTTCTTAATCTGATGTATTGTAAGCCACGTTTGAGAGGGGGGGGGTGACAGATGCGGGCCCCTGAAACGTTTAGATTACGAGATGTATCCCAGCTTTTTCCATTAGAATGTCCATTCATGCTGCCATTTATTAAGAGAAGAATGTGAAACCTACTTACTGCCCAGAAATCAGGTTACAGTACAGCAGCGACGGGGCGTTTTNATGTATACACAGCCTGCCTTTGAACCGCGCATTTTCCGACTAAAAGATCAGTGATTGCACATTTCTGCCAAGATACAGATCAGGTCCTGCAGATGCAGCTAGTACAGTGAGGTGGTACATCAGAGAGAAACCTTATAATAAGGGGGAATTAAGAAGCCAAGCGTTGTGCAACTGGCTAAGCAAAAACACATCTAAACCTAAATCTGAACCTAAAATTAGTGCCATTTGCAGGGTGTGCAATTTTACATAAATTTTGTTTAATTTCCTCATGGCCCTTTTATTTTAATCTGCCTGTTTGACTCAAGACTCAAGGCCGGAGAGGGGAGAGGAGGAGAAAAAAAAAAACACGAGGATGATGTATGGCTATATGGCTTCCAGAAAGCGACACATTAAGAACATATGGCCAGGAATGTCCAGAAGGAGCGCCGCTCAATGATTGGAGCAGAAGGTTGAAGGGGGAGGAGCCAGAGTGGGGGAGGGGGGGAGTGCTCCGGTTCTGCTCCAGCACACGCCTGAGTAGACAGCCCCTCCGCCAAACACGGACCTACAGATTCCCGCCTGATTAGAGCGCGGTCTCATTAGAAAGTGATCCATCTCCCGATTAAACCCACACAGGCCCTAACTAGACGGTATGATCACTGCTTTATACTCATACACACAGCACCAGGAAACACACAATCATGTCTCACATTCCAAGGTCAATAGATTCTCCAAGTATACGCACCAAAAAAAAAGAACAGAATTATACTTGCTACAATTGTCAGAATAAGGAAGGACCTGCTGACTGAATAATGAGGACTGAGAGAAAGCAAAGCAATCGGAGTCTGAGCTGCGAATATCCCTGACTGTTCTGCCGCTCTCTTCCGAATTACTCCTTTTTACAAAATCGGCACAGCGGGCCTGAGTTACACTGGCTGGCGGTCACCGGTGGAGCAGAAGCTCTGGATGAATCGAGAGCCGCCGAGAGGGCCGTTTAGCTGCAGGGAGGAAGGCGAGAGGCTGTCGTGTCAGCAGGTCACAAGCAGAAACATCTGTGCACACACAGGGCACGGCATGGGCCCTGGCTCAGAGAGGGAACCCAACAGCCAAGCCCACCAATCCCCACAGCGACTCCAACCTTTATTCTTCAGCCTGCTCCTCCTCCTCCACTAGCCCTCCCTCCCTCTCTCCGAGAGACCTCCTCAATCCAGACCTCCTCAATCGGCTCTCTCTCCGTCCAGAACCATCCAGAACTTAGAGCTCTGCCAGTTCTCGCAGAACTCAAACCTGCTCTCGCAGCACCTTCCCTTACGCCATTCGGAACCCAAATATCAACCAGCTTCTTCTCTCACCAGTCATTCTCTCCACAAGCATTTTTCAGAACATACACCTTCACAAAGCTCCCTTAGGCAAAGTAAATGTTCATCACAAACTAAAAAAAAGCCTAAACATTAATATAAAGCTGTTGAATGTTAATCACGTAAAAATAAAGGCCTAACACAATGCATACATGTGTTTGTAGGCACTTCAAAGTGGATAGAAAAGTGGAAAGTGTTGGATCTTATTTACAGTAAATATTTTATCTCAATAACAAAATCAATTACTGACATTTTTGCGGATATTAAACAGGGTCTAATATGATTGTTCCAGAACAAAAAAAAAACTGCTTCCTGAATGGAGAACCAGTCAAAGTGGGGGGGGGGGGGGGGGGGTTTTTGGGGGGGGGGGGGGCTCTTACTTCATTAAATATTAATTTCATAATAAAACTGGCTTTCTAAAAGCAGAGCACAGAAAGCCCCCCCCTCCACCTCGTCACCATAAAGGGCAGGATCAACATACCGATGCCGTGCTGTCCTTTTAGCATGCATGTTAACTCTCACAACGTCCTTCACAGGGAACGTTTAAGGACTAACAGCAAATATATCCCAGTATGCAGCAGCACCACCGGGCAAGGGCTAGAGCCGACACCCTGGAGGTTAGCACCCGAGCGCGGCGAGCGGCGTACGCGTTTAAGGGCAGTGCTTCTATGCTGTTACACATAATAGCCCTGCCCCCCGGGCTACAATCAGCCCCCATTACAGTGAAATGGCAGCCATCTTATATCATCATTGCGGGGAGGGTTATAAAAACACAGTAACCGAAAATGGGGGCTCTGGGGTGTGACGGGGGGTTGGGGGGAGGGGCTCACCCAGGCGGAGGCACTGCCTGAGAACGCCTCCCGAGGACATGTTCTTCTCCGCCTCGATCTCGGTGAAGTTCAGCGAGCTGGCGAAAATAAGCACGTCCACCAGGCCGATGAGCCTCTGCAGGAAGGTGAGGGCGGCCTCCACGGACAGGCCCTGCGACGGCTCGATGTTTTCCAGCTCGTGCTGTGGGGCGGGAGGGCGGAGCTCAGACCGGGAGGGGCAGCTGGCGGCAAACGGGGCGTGGGAGGCAGAGCAACAGCGGCGGGGTACCCACGGAGGAGGAGGTGGCTGCGGACAGCAGGGGCAGGATGCCCCCGCAGGCCATGATGAGGTTGTCCACCACCTGCGACACCAGGTGCACCGTGTTGTGTACGAACACCACGTTCTCGCTGCTGTTGACGAAGTCCATCACCGTCTTGGTGGAGTGACTGCACAGAGGGAAGGTAGCGCGAGGTGAGCTTTCGACGGATTTGCCCGCGGCATTCCCTCATCGACGACATTTTTAAAAAGTGCTTTCCCAGGCCATCAGCTAACAAAATAATAATAATAATAATAATAAAATGCCTAGGTTTTTCAAAGTGTTCACGGTCACGCCGTGATGGACAGCCCGCTTTAACGTCTGTCAGGATTACAAAATGATAGGCAGCGGGCCCCGGCGGCTACGCCACATGACATACCGGAGAAACACTGGCGTGTACAGGTGCGGGACGCCCCACAAGGGAGAGGGGCGTGTTTTTAGGGGCGAACAGAACGGGATGGTGACCCTGTGACCTGCCGGCGCCGCTCACCTGCGCCACATCTGCACGTCGGTCTCGATGGAGAAGAGCAGGTCCGTCAGCAGCCGCTGGTGCATGTGCGACCACTTGAACTCCGGGATGCGGAACATGGCGGAGCGTCCGGAGGAGCTGGCCGGATCTCCTCTGCCTTGTCCCGCTGAGGCATGAGCCGAAGTCACTCCTTGGCTTGACTCCTGAAGACCACAAAAAAAAAAAAGACCTTTCATGATAAACAAGGCATCAGCCCATTAGTTACATGAAGTTGGATGAGGAGCTAGCTAGGAGTAAATGAGGAGCAGGGAGAACCATACCGTGGCCGGCTGCTCCTTTAGCTCCAGCCTCTCTGTGTCGGATGCCACGCTGGACACATCCAGTCTAGCAATCTTAATCTCCTTCAATTTAGTGCCGGTACTGCCGCGAGGCTCCGCCCCTTTGCCGCTGGGGGTTTCTGCTCTGCCAGGAGACTGTTCAGGCCCCTTGTCCCCAGAAGCCCCTCGGTCACCGGGCTCCTCAGAGTTAGGCCTCTCTGCTGCCACCTTGCTGGCCTCCATGTCCCCCTCGACTGGCTGCTCTGGGGTGGCCGCCTTTCCCGCTTCCTTTCCCCGCTCCGTCTCCGCCGTGGTTGCTGCGGGAGATTCAGAGGAGGAATCTGCCCCAGCACCATCACTTAATTCGACGTCTCTTAGGCTAGACGCCGCTGGTTCGCTTTCGTTGGGAGGGGGTTTCTCCACCATGGCCTCCTTCAGAGCAGCTTCCAAAGTGGCGTCGTCTCCATACGTCTCCCTTCCTTCCTGGTCCAGGGCCACCTCCTCCGCCCCATCTTTGACTTCCTCGACACCGTCCACTGCATCCGTTCCCGAGGCCACCTCAGCTTCTGCCTCACCTGGAACATCCTCCACACCATCTGACGTTTTGGTTGGGGAGCTGGGCTCCACAGCTTCAGCCTTGACCCCAGCTTCAGCCTTGACCCCAGCTTCAGCCTTGACCCCATCTTCCTGCATAATTTCAGAAGCCTCCCCTGTTTGGCCTTTCTCCTCCAATGGGGCCTGGGTCTCCTCACCATCCAGAGTAAGAGCTGCTCCTCCAGCAGCCCCAGCCAGGATATCAGACACTGCAACCGGCCCCAGAGACGCCTCCCCTTCCTCCTTGTCCTCCACCCGGAGCTCGATGACTGTGGAAGGGGCATTCTCCTCGATACTGGGCAGGCTGTTATAGTCCCCATTGGCACGGGCCAGGGCCTCCGCGTCCCGGCTCACCCCTGACACCGTCCTGATGGGAGCCGAGCCGCTCTGGTCCGACCCCAGTCTTTGGTACTCCTTAAACATCCGAGACAGGCTCTCTTTGTGCAGCTCGAAGGAAACCTGGGGAGAGATCCGGATAGCTAAATATTAAACAATCAGGCTTTATCATTACTGTTAAGTAATCGTAATCTTTAAATAAGAGGCTTAAAGCGCACCATCAAATATCAGTATTTCTACAACTAAATTCCTGTCAAACACCTGAGCACTACTCATATAGTACATTTCCCAACAAATCAGTCATGAGCTTAAAAACATGAATAAAAAAAGCAGTAGTTCAAAGGCATCTTTTCATCAAGGTTTTACATCTTCCGATACATCAGCGTGATGTTTATATACGGTGGATTTACGCTTTGAGTAACCAACGTAGTATTTACGATCAAACTCAGCTAGACGCATCAAAGCAATGCAAATGTTTTAACAAGCCACTGGTAACCAGACGAGCCAGCTCTATGTTGATGATGCCACATAGGAAACTTGTCAAACCGAACAAAGGATTCTAATGGAACCGAACAAAACCGGCACATTTGTGATGAGAGATCAGGAGGTAGCGGGCGTTCGCTGGCCCCACAGAGCACTCAGACCAACACCCATCGGGACACACGGGGCCCGAACCCCTCGTTAATAATGCTACATTAATCAAATCGGCCCCGCGGACAGGAAGTCCACCCCGGGGCTCAGGAATTCACGGAGGCGCAGTTCCTAGTTTTAGCTACAGGCATTTGCATTTGTGGGAGAAAACTTGATTATTTGCAATTAATTAGGAGTTATTGTTCTAAATTAGCTGCCTACAAGGGTGGTCATTAATCTTGCAGGTTGTTTGATCGTTAATCTATAGCCGTTTTCTCAGCCCAGAGTGCTTCCTAATACACCAGAGGGTAAAAGGATTTTTTTCACCCTCCATCTAAGTAGAATTCACAGCCCCCCCCCCACCCCCCTCCCGCGTACCCACTCTCATCCATTTCCACTTAATTTGACGTTCAGCATTAAACAAGTGGAAGAATGTATTCCACATGTCCAAGCCTCGAGATGAACGTCACTGCTCCACACCAGCATGGCTTCACCACAGCTCCATCACCTGTTACAACCATATAAATATCACCTATGGGGACAAACTGATCTGAAATAGCAAGAGCACCAACAGCAGCAACAACAGCAACATCAACAGCAGCAGCAACAACAGCAACATCAACAGCAACATCAACAGCAACATCAACAGCAACATCAACAGCAACATCAACAGCAGCAGCAACAGCAACAGCAACAGCAACATCAACAGCAGCAGCAACAGAGCTCGGACTTCCAGAGCAACTGGGGTATCCGGGCCGCCTCCGGTCCGGCCAAATACAAAATCCATCTCAACACCTTGGAAGGATGTGATGGGAAGGAGAGAAGCGGTACGGCCTGGGAGACGGCCTACGTCAACGTTCAGAGATGCCGTGGTTTTGGTTGACAGTTTAGCATGATGGTAATTGGGATGCTTCAGAGCTCAAAACACACAGTGCTGCAAATCGGACATAAAGAACGTCTCAAGACCAATCTTACCCTAAAGACTTGAGCTTTATGATCACGTAACAAAAGAGAGGCAGTATTTTGTGTGTGGTTCCCTCCTATATGGAGTTAAGAACATTACAGGAGTCGGAAACCAGCGGAAAACTGGAATAAAATTGGTTCTCTTTATTTTTTGTAAGTACTTGAACTTTTGTTTTTGTGTTAAATGCATATATGCCCATATCACATTAAAAATCGTATCTCAAACCCCCTTCTCTACCCAAAGCTCTTTGCTTTTAAAAGGTTGCCGACCCCTGGCCTAGTGCATGTATACACAGCCTGCCTTTGAACCGCGCATTTTCCGACTAAAAGATCGGTGATTGCACATTTCTGCCAAGATACAGATCAGGTCCTGCAGATGCAGCTAGTACAGTGAGGTGGTACATCAGAGAGAAACCTTATAATAAGGGGGAATTAAGAAGCCAAGCGTTGTGCAACTGGCTAAGCAAAAACACATCTAAACCTAAATCTGAACCTAAAATTAGTGCCATTTGCAGGGTGTGCAATTTTACATAAATTTTGTTTAATTTCCTCATGGCCCTTTTATTTTAATCTGCCTGTTTGACTCAAGACTCAAGGCCGGAGAGGGGAGAGGAGGAGAAAAAAAAAAACACGAGGATGATGTATGGCTATATGGCTTCCAGAAAGCGACACATTAAGAACATATGGCCAGGAATGTCCAGAAGGAGCGCCGCTCAATGATTGGAGCAGAAGGTTGAAGGGGGAGGAGCCAGAGTGGGGGAGGGGGGGAGTGCTCCGGTTCTGCTCCAGCACACGCCTGAGTAGACAGCCCCTCCGCCAAACACGGACCTACAGATTCCCGCCTGATTAGAGCGCGGTCTCATTAGAAAGTGATCCATCTCCCGATTAAACCCACACAGGCCCTAACTAGACGGTATGATCACTGCTTTATACTCATACACACAGCACCAGGAAACACACAATCATGTCTCACATTCCAAGGTCAATAGATTCTCCAAGTATACGCACCAAAAAAAAAGAACAGAATTATACTTGCTACAATTGTCAGAATAAGGAAGGACCTGCTGACTGAATAATGAGGACTGAGAGAAAGCAAAGCAATCGGAGTCTGAGCTGCGAATATCCCTGACTGTTCTGCCGCTCTCTTCCGAATTACTCCTTTTTACAAAATCGGCACAGCGGGCCTGAGTTACACTGGCTGGCGGTCACCGGTGGAGCAGAAGCTCTGGATGAATCGAGAGCCGCCGAGAGGGCCGTTTAGCTGCAGGGAGGAAGGCGAGAGGCTGTCGTGTCAGCAGGTCACAAGCAGAAACATCTGTGCACACACAGGGCACGGCATGGGCCCTGGCTCAGAGAGGGAACCCAACAGCCAAGCCCACCAATCCCCACAGCGACTCCAACCTTTATTCTTCAGCCTGCTCCTCCTCCTCCACTAGCCCTCCCTCCCTCTCTCCGAGAGACCTCCTCAATCCAGACCTCCTCAATCGGCTCTCTCTCCGTCCAGAACCATCCAGAACTTAGAGCTCTGCCAGTTCTCGCAGAACTCAAACCTGCTCTCGCAGCACCTTCCCTTACGCCATTCGGAACCCAAATATCAACCAGCTTCTTCTCTCACCAGTCATTCTCTCCACAAGCATTTTTCAGAACATACACCTTCACAAAGCTCCCTTAGGCAAAGTAAATGTTCATCACAAACTAAAAAAAAGCCTAAACATTAATATAAAGCTGTTGAATGTTAGTCACGTAAAAATAAAGGCCTAACACAATGCATACATGTGTTTGTAGGCACTTCAAAGTGGATAGAAAAGTGGAAAGTGTTGGATCTTATTTACAGTAAATATTTTATCTCAATAACAAAATCAATTACTGACATTTTTGCGGATATTAAACAGGGTCTAATATGATTGTTCCAGAACAAAAAAAAAACTGCTTCCTGAATGGAGAACCAGTCAAAGTGGGGGGGGGGGGGGGGGGGCGCACAGACTCCTGCAGCCATGCTTACGATACAATGTGCGATCGGTGGTAGGAGGCGCTGTAGTGCCACGAGGGAGGGAGAAACAAGCCTGATTGTCTAACACACCCCATGGCATACAGAGTAATTTGGGCTTTT